CAGGTCTCTCTTGTAAATGAGTCCTCGAGGCTCAGTGGGATTAACCTGTCTAGATTTTTTTTTTCTTTTTTCATTTTTTCAATTACCCTTTATTTATCCAGGTAGTCTCATTGAGCCACAAGAACTCATTTTCAAGAGAGACCTGTTTAGGGAGCAGATGGGGGTTAAGGGCCTTGCTCATGGGCCCAGAGTGGGGCAAATGAGGGTGGGGGCAGGTGTGGGTGCTTCACCTACCCCACCCACATTTTTGATGTTGTCGGTGCTGGGGCTTGAACCAGCGATCCTCTGATCACAGGCCCACCTTCTCTAATCTCTGCACCACCACTCCCCCCAAATAAAGGTTGAATGAATTTTACAGAGCCCTGAGGTTAGGGAAACCAGTTTATTTATTAAGTCTTAGTATTTGGTTTGATAAACAGGGCAGAAAAACTGTCAGAGAATAAGAATAAGAATTATCTTGTGCAATAAATCTTATTCTTTTCCCTCTTCAGGGGTTACCACAACGAGTCATCCTCCTCTTACCCCACATCTGAAGAAGACCCTCGCGAGGCTGGTCCTCAGCAATTTACACCACCTGGTGAGGTCTTCGTTGGATCTGTTGCAGTTTGCCTACCAGCCTGGCATCGGGGTGGATGATGCCATCATCTACCTCAGGCACCGAGCTCTGACTCACCTGGAGAAACCTGGAAGCACCGTGAGGATCATGTTTTTTGATTTCTCCAGTGTTTTCAACACCATCCAGCCAGGACTTCTGCGGGACAAGCTGGAGTTATCAGGAGTGGATCACCACATGTCCCAGTGGATACTGGATTACTTCACTGGATGCCCACAGTATGTGAGGACACAGGGCTGTGTCTCTGACAGGCTGGTCTGCAGTACGGGGGTCCCGCAGGGAACTGTGTTGGCACCATTCCTCTTCACCCTCTAAACTGCAGACTTCACCATTAACTCCCCACACTGCCATCTGCAAAAGTTATCTGATGACTCTGCCATAGTCGGCCTCATCACAGGTGAGGACGACAAAGTACAGACAGTGGACTCATGACGACTGGTGTCAGCGGAACCACCTCCTGTTCAACGCTGCTAAAACAAAGGAGCTGCTGGTGGATATCAGCAGGCACAGACCCACCTCACTGACTCCAGTGAACATCCAGGGAGTGGACATCGAGGCCGTGGACTCTTATAAGTACCTGGGTGTTCACCTGAACAATAAACTGATGTACTTTACAGGAAGGGTCAGAGCAGAATCTACCTACTGAGGAGACTGAGGTCTTTTAGAGTGCAGGGGGTGCTCCTAAAGACCTTTGACTCGGTAGTGGCATCAACCATCGTCTATGGTGTTGTGTGTTGGAGCAGCAGCTTATCATCAGCATCTAGATAAGCTCATCAAGAAGGCCAGCTCTGTGCTTGGACGCTCCCTCGACCCAGTGCAGGTGGTGGGAGACAGAAGGACTCTAGCTAAAATACATAATTGCTGGACAACGTCTCCCACCCCATGCATGAAGCTGTTGCTGAACTGGACAGCTCGTTCAGTGACAGATTACTTCATTATAAATGTACAAAGGAGCGTTATCGCAGGTCCTTCCTCCCAGCAGCTGTTAGACTCTACAACCACTGCTCCCAACAAACTCAATAAGGATTAAATACATGCTGACCTCTGCTAAAACACACATTCTGCCTATACTATTGGATTGTAAATAGTCTGTCCTTTATCAATGTTCCAGTACATTTTGAACATTGTTATTGATATTGTTTATCTTATTTCTTTATATATTGTTTTTAACATTAGGAACTTTTTGTGTGAATCTTTATATCTGTTGCTGCTGTTACACTTGAATTTCCCATCCGTGAGACAATAAAGGCTGTTTCTATTCTATTCTATTCTATTCTATTCTATTCTATTCTATTCCATCTCACTCTGTCCTCTGCATCCTCTGTCCTCACTCCAACTACCTCCATGCCCTCTCTAACTGCATCCATATATCTCCTCTTTGTCTTTTTCCTGGCAGCTGCATTTCTAACATCCTT